CTAATGACCACATCATGTAGCACTAGACAAATTCTGAAAAGGATGTAATTACAAGAAAAAAAACCGAAGCTTCTTACTGGCAGGTCATCACAAGATGCATGACTCGCTGCTTCTGAAAAGAACACTGTTCAACAAGATCCAGAATGAACTCACCAGCTGCCCCCTGTAAATCTTAAAGCTACTTAAAATCAGGTTTAAACAAAATGGCGTCATAGTTAAGAAGGCCACTTGAATAAGTAAAATCATCTTAAAAAAAATGTCTTGATGCAAATCATTAGTTGCACTAAAAAACACAGATACAATTAGAGAGAAAGAGACATAAATCAAAGTAATTGCAGAGTGATCACAAAGGAAGCCTCATGAACAATTAAAAAGGTTTTCAACCCCGAATATGATAAAAAAATTCTTTACACTTTACTAAACAACAATCACCGCGAGATATCAAAGTTAAGCAAATATAAATAACCAAACAAAAAACACAAATTAATGTTTATCAACTCTTCTTTTTATCACACAATATGGAATAAAATCTCATGGAAAATTTTATTCCTTTTCTATTTTTCCACATATGATAAAGCCCTACCCACTACAACGAAAACTCAACATGACAGCATCTAAATAAGTTCTGTTCTTACATGAGAAGAAAAGAAAGATTACAACAGGTAATACGTAAATTTCAACAAACAAATGGAAAAAATCAGCAAAACCAACAGATTGTATTGATAAGAAAAGAGATGCAAACGAGCAAGATACAATGGTCCTCTTTCGAGAGGACCTTCTCTCCCAAATTCTAGACGCTGCTAAAATCTCTCACAAAAACAGTGGATAGCAAACACTCACTAAAACCATAGACTACTCTCATTTAAATAGCCCTACAATACAATAACCTAAATAGAACTTTCCTAAACAATTTAAATATAATTTAGGAAACCTTCTCAAACAAATAAACATGATTTAGGAAACCTTCCTAAACAATTAAATATAATTTAGGAAACATTTCTGAATAAATAGAACCTTCCTAATCAACATAAATATAATTTAGGAAACCTTTCTAATTAAATAGAATTTTCCTAATAAAAATTCTCCCTCGTTAAATCCTTCCTAGCACACAATAAACATATTTGGAACCTTACTGATAAAAAAGTTCTAAAACACCTCTCCCTTGATTACTCCTCTTCGCATAACAGCTCTTCTAAGCCCCACAAAGCTAGCCGAATTTCCTCTGGCTCCCCTCCTGCTTCCGCTCAGCCTTGTTGGTTCGGCTCCTATTGAAGTGGCCAGATGGGTTGGTCTAGGCCTTCTCCCACTGCGCCCTCTCCTGTTGTTGCCCCTCTTGTTGTCGCTCCTACTGCTGCTGGTAGCTCTCCTTGTTGGTGTATCACATTCACAATGATTCCTTAAGATAAGACTACTCCTTTCTCAACTTCCACCTTCTATTAATGACATTTCCTTCATTTCTTCATTTTGCAAGGATTTTCGTATTTTTCTTCAAAGCATCATTTTGTTCTCTTCGCCACAATTTTTCATTTAGTTTTCACTTTTCACATCTACTAATTCTTTCAACCTTAAGAAATTTCTTTCTTAGTTAAATCATCATTCTAACATTTTTCCCATTCCACTCACATTTCTTCATTTTGTCACTTAGCAAGGATTTTCATTTTTTTCTTCCGCTCATCTTTTTCTTCTATCCTTCACTATTTTTCCTTTGGGCGATCAAGTCATTAATAAGAGCAGGGGCGGAACCAGACTTTCATTTTAAGGGGGACAAAATTTTCTTATTAATAGACAAATATATAAAAAAGGGAGATTTTACTTCACCAAAAGTACATCTTGTAACCTATCTCAAATATAAAAAAAAATACTTCCAAAAGAACACATTCAATCATCTTCCCTAAGCAAAGAAGATCAAAAACACTTCTCATATTCAGCAATGTGTTAAAAAAAAAACAAACACAACAATCAATCAATGCGTTCAAAAATAAAAACTGACCTAGATCTCCCGATGCCGGAGGCAGTCGCGAATCACGAACGTCGGAACGAACTCTTCCTTCCCTCCGTCTTGCGCACGAATCAACTCTCGAGTCTGCGACGAAGCCTTCCCTCTCGCCCGCTGTCTTGCGTTCGCTGCAGTCGCCCTCCACGTTCACTGTAGGTGCCTAGGTTTCTAAGTGTTCGGCTGGTTGGCCATTAAAAGAGAAGCATAATACTAAATTAAGTGTGGCAGAGATGAGGATGCTCAGATGGATGAGTGGCTTTACCCTTAGAGATAGGATTCGAAATGAGCATATACGTGAAAAGGTTGGAGTAGCACCAGTAGAAGATAAGATTAGAGAGAGTCGCCTTAAATGGTTTGGTCACATAAAACGGCGGCCTTACAATTACCTGGTTAGGAGAGTAGAGGTATTTGATTTGACTTATGTTAAGAAAGGCAGAGGTAGACCTAAAAAGACTTGGTTAGAAAATATTAGGAATGACCTTTCTTTATTTGATTTAAACGTGAAATTTGACCTTTAGTAGGACACAATGGAGAAAAAGAATCCATGTAGTCGACCCCACGTAGTGGGATAAAGGCTTGATGTTGTTGTTGTTGTTTGTTGTTCACTATTTTTCCTTTTAATTTCTTCTTTCCACATCAACTAATTCTTTGGCCCTTAAGGAATTTCTTAAACTTGGTTAATCCATCATTCTAACACTCATCTCATTCTTCCCACATTCTTTTTTTTTTGAACCCAAAGCAAAACAGCTTTATTAATGAACTAAAGGAGGAGGGAATTCTTCCATGAACTAAACTTGGTTAATGAAATATTACAATCTACAATCATCTGACTCCTTTAACAAAGTGATAAAAGGAGGAGGGAATTCTTCCATCATTCATGCTCTTCATTTTGTTCTGATTTTTTTTTTTTAACTTTTTGTTTGTCAACAGCTTCTTCGGTTTCCTTTTAATATCCTGTTTTTTTTATTCACTCCATCTCCTTATAAACAAATCTTCCTTTTACTTTCTAACTAACTTTTCCAGTCATTGCAAGTCAATAACCAGAACCTTGTAGTTGACAAATTAGACTACATAATCCAGAGGTTTGTCCTTTATATGATCAATGTTATAGTAAATACATGAATTTGAGCAAAAGCAGCAATGGAACATTTAGGTTTAGTTTGGGATAGTTTTCTTCGTACTTTCTAAAGCAGCTTTTTAATACAAAAAAAAATTTTGAACTAAAAATTTTTCTGCCAAAGAGTGTAAAATACGAAATCATCGATCGTAAGCGTTGCACGCATCTCGATGCATCACGACGAGATTTAAGTGAATTTTCAAAGTCATCGGATTTCGACAAAAATAATTTTATAAAATTGTACATAAAATTTCAAGCAAATTAGTATAAAAGACCTATATGGAATTTCGTATAGATCTGAAATTAAAAATCAAATAAGTTTTCATATTTTTTAAATGACTTAATAACCCCTCTTGATCTTAAGAGAAATAGTTTTAAGTGAGGGCAAATCGGTCTTTTGGCAATCCCTAAACCATTTAGAGCTTTAAAGGGACCAATTAGGTTTGGTCCCCTTTCATTCGTGCAATCCATTCCTTCACCTGAACAAATGAGACGGAGGGAGAGGGAGGACGGGAGGCTTCGGGCACGGCTCCGGCGGCGGTTTCCGGCGGCCGGACTTAGGGGAAAATGTAGAGAAAGGCTAAAGGAAGAATAAGGTATTATTAGAAATAAGAAATTCTTATCTTTTCTCTAAATTTTTGGACGATAAATTTATAGGGTTTCTTTAAATCTGAATATTTTGTTTAGAAAATGATAAGGAATGGATTTTGACCGCATTTTCCCTAAAAATATTGAATTTGGAAAATTAGGATTTTTCATAACTTGTGAATTTTTAAGAAAACCCTTCACGATTTTTGTTTCAAATGACATTAGGAAAGTTGTAATGGTGGAAATTAAAATTTTTAACAAAAATTTTATTTTTATAATTTTTTAATGAAAATAATCCGAAAATTTCATAACCTAATTATTAATTAGATTTAGGAGAAAGTTCGGCATGGTTATTAGATGAAATTAGTGAATATTAGGTTTCCTAAAATTGGGATTTTTAATAAATCCGAAAATATAATTTAATTAATGTGATTATTGAAAATATATTATGATTAATGCTTAATATGTTTGTATTTACTTCTATACTAAGGTGTCGATTATAAGAGGACGCCTCGAGCATAAACGACGTCGTTGAGGTTTACTATGCTTGTAAGGTAGGTACTTGTATTTAAATTAAATTCATGTTCCTACACTTTTAAATGTTATGGATATGAATGAATTTCATATGTTCATGTTTATGAATTTTCCTATTTACTTTATGTTCACATATTATATTTATGTTCATGTTATTATGTTTATTGTTAAAGGAAAGTTAAACTTGTAAAACAAAATATAAGGCATATGATTGTCGGTGTAATTTCATATTTTTATGGCATGTCCTATAATTGAAATTTAGGTAAACAAGAGAACATTTGAAACATATATGAATTTCTAAATGAATTTATCCCTATGATAAATATTATGATTGAATGTGCATGATGATCAGGATGTACCAACTGGTAAAGGGCTCTTTCGGGGCAAAAATGGTAGAGGGCTCTTCGGGGCAAATTGGTAAACAATTCTTCGGAGTAAAGGAAAAGGTTGGCCAAAAATTGACTATGTACCTGATCAGTACAAAATAATGGTACTTCCGAGATTGGTGTATAATTATATAATTAAGCATTCTATGCATTTAAAAATAAAAGAAAGGTTATGACTAAAGGAAAAGTTTATGAAGAATGAAAAAAAGTTTAAGAAAAATAAAATAAAATGGTTATATTGTATATGCATATCAAATGTCATGTATGATTTCTTTTAATTTCTATAATTTTTATGAATTAAAGATTTCATGCTTTAATGCTATTTTTTTATTGTTCATGAATTTATGTTAAATATTTGTTACCTGCTGGGCGTTAGCTCACCTTTGCTTGTGGGAATGTTTTTTAGAAGAGACTGCAAGAGAGTGATGGCTGAAAGATCGATTACCTACCGTCGTAGAGGATCCCAGTATGATAGGTTTTTATGGTTGTTTATGCTTCTAGTGTTAGTCTATGTTAAAGTTTATGTATTGGGGACTTTCTAAGGTATTGTTATGTTTTAAATTGTTATTTCTAATGTTGTTGCAACTTTCAAGTTTGATATTTAGTGACTCTTTTTATAATTGAAGTTTGGATGAACATTTGTATATATTTGATTATGAATGAAACTTTATGTGTTACTGTACGCCTTTCTGTTCCCGCCCCGTTAATCCGGGCTAGCCGGGCCGAGTCGTGACAGAGAGCTACTTTAGAAAGCAATAAAAAAAAATGTCCCAAATGAAGCCCCAGGCTATTGGCTATTGCAGAGTTGTTGCTCACATCTTTCTCTATTGCCCGACATTAAAGTACCAACCATGGTTATTGAAGACTCCTACCTCTTTGCCATATATTTCTCTTTCTTCGAAGATTTTGGTAATCATGAACATGAATTTATGGTTTTACAATGTTTTTATCTGCTAAAATGCTATCTGTTCTCATTGATATATGTAACATGTTTTAGTTGATTCGTGTATTGCAATCTATAATAGTGTTTGACTAACATTCTGAAAGTTGTTTAATTTGCTAGTTCCTTTTTTCTTTCTTTTTACATAATCAGTTAAAAAATATGTATCAATGCATAAGCATCATAATGCAAGGTCAAGCAAATCGGCTGTAAACATACATTAAAGAAACATTGTGTCTGGCACAAGAACACGTTACCTTTAATTCCCAGAATTACGCATTGCTCTAGCCCCATTCATATAATCAATATTTATTAAAAAAAAATGAATATTATAATATTGTTTTGTTGCAAGCGATTGTTAGTTATATTCAAAATAGTATCAAATGATATCTTCTGTAGTTTGATCAACAAGCTGGCATTCACAGCTTATCAAAAAAATGCATCAATAAAAATAAGTCCTCCACATCTGACACATTCTCCATTTATAAAAGAAAATATTTTTGAGCTCTGCAATTTATATCTAAAAAAAATTGTTATCAGAAAAACTTCAAAAACTTATCTAGGATTGGATGCTATCAATAATGCATAAGCACTCAGGATGTTAAGCGACTAGTCAAACAGTAGAATAACATATGGAGGTTTGTTTGTTCGACTAAAGAAAACCCAATGTCATGCATTTACACACAATTAAATATTTTATCAAATGCTATTATATCTTTTTTATGCATTCCATACAACAACAACAATGCATTTCATAAGATGCTAAATTCATTAATACATGTACCTCAGGGCATCTAGGAGTCAAGGCATTCAAAGTTTCCATCAAAACTTCCATTACACTGGTGGCCTTATGAATGATGCTGAAAAATAGAAATGGCATAAGAAATAAATATCATCACATACATGACGATCAACCTATATTCTTTAATAAATTTAAGAAAAAAAATCACATACACGATGTTCAAATACAATAAGATTTACCCACAAAGTATGAACAGCCAAAAAGAAAAAGAACTATTAGATGAAGGTTAGCAGAGTACATAACTTAAACGGAACCATAAACAGCAACATTTATCAAATCTCAATCTCAAGATAACACAAAAGGCTTCTTTTGATACAAATTTATCTCAAAACTTAGGCTTTGTAACATCCAAGAGTAGAATGTGCCAGAAATCCTGATCCCACTAAAACTGTTGCAAATCAAGTGTGAGCACCTTAGCTATTAAAAATTATGCATGACTGATCCCGAGGTTATGAAAGCACTTCACCTAAAATCAGCCAATGAGAAATGTTATATAGTTCATTAAAAGGTCATTAACAGGTCTTGAAAGAGAGAAATAAACAATGATTATCAAATGGCAATCTAGTACTGCTGCATATTTTGAGAAATCTAACACAATATTCACTGAACACCTTAAAACGGTTCATGGAACCATTTTGGGGGATAGGATCACAAATAGATGTGTGTGTACTGCCACACATTCGTCAGAAAATAATTTAATATCAAAATTTAATGCATCGGCAATTCATTGTAGCCTAATTAGCTCTAACATTTTAATTCCCAGCACAAGCTATAAATACCCCTATCAATCAAGTAAAACTGAAATAAACCTTCGGATTGGGGTCTAGACCTTCGGATTGGGGTCTAGATCATTTGGATTAAAGCTTTATGATGCACATTGATTAATAAAAAGAAAATAATTTTTTGTGCATAATCAAAATAATAGTTAAACAAGCATTACCACTAAAAGGTTGTTGACCAATGTATAATACCAAATCATACCTCTGCTCTGTTGGATCCAGAAATCCCGCTCAAAACCCGCAGAAATGTCAGCTATTCGGCACTGGCAGAGCCGATTCACGTCTCCTCGCACAAATCCTGCGCGAATCCTGCGACGAGTCCTCGATCCCGCTCCCATTCGGGTCTTTAAATACCGACCAAATGAAGCCATTTCTTCCCCCGTTCGCTACTGCTCTGTCCAAGCTCCTCTCCCACTCCCGACGCCTTCTTCCTCCCATTCAACCGAAACTCCCTTCCCCCTTGTCGTGTCCATCCTACCTTCGACAAAGAGGAGCCAAGAGAGAGAGAGAGAGAGAGAGAGAGAGAGAGATCCCTTGGAATTTTTATTGCCTCAGGTTACCTGAAATAGAGATACATCAGGTAACCTATAACATATCGCCACGTGTTCTTACTCTTTATCGCGCGGCCCGACGACCCAACCCGAAACATATATGTGCGGTATTGCTAGGTACTACTCGGTATTTGCTCGGTATTGATAGGTACTACTCGGTATTTGCTCGGTATTGCTCGACATTTCTCCAGGAAAAATTTCATTGAAATGGAAAGGCTTGGGGGGAGGAACGAGGAAGATGACATGGAGATGGATTTGGAGGTAAAGGAAGAGGACGACGATGACGAGAGGAGCCGAACGTTAGTAG